AGCCCCCCCCCCCCCAATTTCTGTGCCATCTGAGATATAGCCTATGGTCATGTCCTTTTTGTGAGGTATTTGACATCATCAACTGTCTGGAAAAGTGATAGTTGCTGACAGCAATTTGAGTATTTCATCGGCTTCAGTTCCAGTGACATGGTGCAATAGATCGTATTTGATACATCAAACGGATGAGATTGTATCGATATCGATTGGTTCAAAACATAAACATAGCCTCAAAAGTAGATTCAGAAATCTAAGAGAACGGGTCTTTTGTGACAGATTTTTTATTCTTTTGAGTACCAAATGCCAATGCGAAGTGAAATTGTCAGGAAATGTCTCATTTTCATCTTTTCCAACTTAAATCCTTACAGTTTGGTTAGAGGTTATGTTCAAGTGTTTTGAACCAAACTATACATCGAACCGTTATCGAATATGGTCTTGCGCTCATTCGCACTAGTTCGCCTTCAATAAGTTGTTAGGCAATGTGAGCGGCTCAGGAGTAGTACCAGTTGTTTGCAGCAGTTTGAGCGACTGCTCAGTTGCGCTGGTCACAGAATCGTGTTATGATGCTCGATTCTTGTAGATTAGCTAAAGGTAATGGGACCTTTCCGAACGGCAACTCTCTACGTTCAACATGGAGATGTTGCATGTGTGAGGGATTTGCGATTTGACCATTGATTCTCATGTAAAATTTCGCGAGAAACATGATAATGCCACTGGTTTTCTCTGAAATCATTTCCCAAGCTCAAAAAAGCTCTCAAAGTGAGGCCAAAATTGAGGGGATATCCCACCCTGCCCTGAGAGTCCACCTCTACATCAAAACAAACTCTCCATGCAAAGATAGGAAGCAAATACATTAGCAGGGTTATCACTTTATTTGGGGACTCCAAGACTGAAAACACGGCATCACTGCTAATGTATTTGCTCCCTCTATGTATGGAGAGTTTGTTTTGATGTACAGGTGGACTTTCAGGGTAGGGTGGGATATCCCCTCCATTTTGGCCTCACTTTGAGAGCTTTTTTCGAGCTTGGGATATGATTTCAGAGAAAACCAGCGGCACCATCGTATTTCTCGCGAACTTTTACATAGGAATCAATGGTCAAATCGCAAATCCCTCACTCATGCAACATCTCCATTAACCGAGATATTACGCTTAGAAAAATTCGGTTTACGATGTCATCCGCACCGCAGTAGTGACACCCTTGCTTTCTTCCACCTTGCTTTCGTCCGAGTTTTACGTTGAGTAGCCATTGCAAATGTGTGTCACACCAACTGGCGAAAGTAAGGTGGAAGAAACCGAGGGTGTCACTACCGCGGTGGATGACGTCAAAAACCCGACTTTTCAAAGGGCGATATCTCGGTAAATATCGAACGTGAGAAGTTGTTGTTCGGATCGATGTTATTATTTTTAGCTGATCCACAAGAAATAGAGCACCAAAACACGATTCTGTGACCAGCGCAACTAGCCCATACACAGTTTCAGTTCCGGTCCAGTGGCGACCTAACTATTCCACTCACGATGTTTCGCGCTCATTCTCATTATTTCGCCTTCAATAAGCTGGTACGCAACGTGGACGGCTCAGGAGCAGTAATATTTGCTTGCCAAGGAACCCGAGGAATATCGAAAATCGATCACTCACACTTCGCCACTGGTAGCAAAGTAAGGATAAACTTACTAGTGGTGGAGATGAGCTGGGGCAGGTATTTTTTCCAAAAGGCGCACTGCCGCAAACGAGGGCCTTGGCCGATGGCAGTGGAGTTTATGTCTAACGTTAAGAACTCCCGACCGTACGTTGTGTGTTGAGGCCAGTACACGGATGCCCAACTTCCGTCTGATGATAAACTTGGGTTACTGGAACAAAAAACACCCGTATATGATGAAGTTAAATTCATTCGCACTACTCTAATTCACACTGCACAAAATTTTAGAATGACCCCTGAAAAATGCAAACTGGGTACCAAATCACCTGTTTTGGAGAGATGAACCTCTGTTATACGAACCAAATAGTTAGTGAATGCTTGCCGATATAGGGAATGCGCCTTCAATTGAGGGAATCACTTGTTTCAGTTAACAGAACTGCGGGCTGATTACTAAAATTGATAGACAAATCTATAGACAAAGGACACGACGAAAGAATGGAGCGATCGTATTGGTTGAAATGGGTGGTTGTTATGAACTCCTTCGTCCATCGCAATCACCAGCTTCCACCAATAGTATCCTTCTTTTTCTCTTTGTCTTCTTTGACAATAGCTTTGTCTATCATCCCGCTGAACTCTAGTTCAATGAGCAGAGGGATCATTTCAACGAACCAAAACGCCACATTACGTTTTTTAATAAACGTGGAGGTAAATACTACTTAAATGAAATCAAGGAAGATTTTTGATAATAGAATGATGGGCACGCTCCGTGATCCGGCATAAAAGGTCGATTCGGTTGAAATCTTAAAAATATTTGGACACGCATCCGTTAACATATATCCTTGGTTTATCTCACACGAAATTACCTTTCGTATGCTTCACCGAGTGATATTTCAGGAACACCCAGAATTTCAAATGCTCACGCACAGCAACGAAGTATATAGCCAGATTTTTAAGCGCTCAGCCGATAGGCAGCGCTTTTTGATTTCGACTTGCCTCTGAGTACTATTATACTAGTGCTAATGCGTTTAAATGGCGCACCAGCTCATCGATGTGTAGGCTTTTGGGGGGGGGGCATTTTTAAAATAAATAAAGCTGTGAAAACTGTATTTTATGCTTTTAACGTAATGCGCAGGTAGTTTCGATCGTTTGTCTATAAGAAAATTTCTTAGCGGTAGAGTAATTCTTATCGAAATTGATCGTTGAACTCAAATGAAGCCTAAAAAAAACGCGCCTGATGAGCTCAACGTTGAGCTCATTTTCGAGAAACAAAAATATGCGTTTACGGTTTCCTTGGTAACCTTTTTTTGCTATCAGCTGAGGTTTTAAGTCCACTTCCCAGCCGAGTCGACGGAGTTTATACGTCCTTTCTTCATTAAATACATTTACTAACACCTGAGCGCTCTTCTAATACGACAGTATTAGAACTTTCCCGCTTTTTTTTAAAAAAAAATTACCATTATGATTTTGTTTTTTTTAAATAATCCGTAAATGAGAATTTTGCGCTCTGACGTTGAGTTCATTTGCCAGTCTTTCTGCTGCAGTTTGAAAACGATATAGATTTTATCGAGGCACGCGCGCGAATTGTTTACTTATTTCCTCTCAAAATCGTGTGAACACGCACTAAAGTGTTGCTGACCATGGCACATGGAGCTTACATTACTCAGATTTCGATTTCGGTCGACTAAAAACAGCGCCACGTAGAATTTTCCAAATAACTTTGTATATTGCGCACAAGGTGTGCCAAAATTTTCCTGCCATTCTTAAAATTAACTACTTGCAATTTTGATGGATGCTTGCTTATATTGGTATCTGTTTGGCATAAACATTTTGGAAGCATTTTCTTTTCTTGGATTGGGGGTAGCTGAAAAATTTGTCGCGTAGGTCCCTTGTTACATCCCTCCCTCTGAAGATAAACAGAATGAAAACAGACTCTACTTCGTAGACTCATAACCATCATCCGGCAATACACTCAAGTTGACAGTTAGGATTTAGAATTATAAGAAAATGGTCGGACACCTCGTGTGTCGTTGCCGTACGCTAAATCAAAGGGAAACATCAAAATACCAAGTGCTGTAGGCCCACTTTAATTTGGCGCAACAAGGTTTGATCGGTATTTGTAAATAAATTAAAACTCGCCCTAGTAGCAGAACCATAGAAGGAAAAGATAAAGATTTTATGCGAAAGTTAATTTTTCTTTATATAACGCATGCATACGATTACGAAAGTGTTAAAAGTGAACATTTTTATGTAACCATTATGTAAAAAAAAGTCATAATTTTCGTGACCTTTTCGCAAACATACTAAAAACTAGCGAAAAGCTAACGAAAATGATGACCTTTTTTATATAATAGTTACATAAAAATGTTCACTTTTAACACTTTCGTATGCATGCGTTATATAAAAAAATAAAAAAATTACCTTATCTAGCTTTTATCATTTTTCATATATTATGGTCAGGTCTGAGCTTTGATTTTTTTTTAATATAAGCGTTGCATGTTTTTTTTATATTAAACAACCATTTAGATAAAAGATATGTGTTTTTTATACTTTTTTTAGAAAAACAAAAATTTGTTCTGCTATTAGGGCGTACGTTTCTGTTTGCTAGAGAGATCAGCAAAAGCTTATGACTCACCCTGTATTCCATCTGCGCAACATTTTTCATTTAAGCGTCCCCTCCCCTCTATTCACGCTAGCTAAAAGAGTGCACGTCGCACAGTAGATCGATTCAATTCGCAAGGTTGGACATGAAATTTTTGACAAAAACTGCAGATTTTTATGTTGGTTTCGTCACATTTTAAACTTTGAGGGGTGGTTCTTGAGGGAAATTTTACGAAAAAACCAATGGAACTACTTTTAGAACTTCAAAATTGTGTATAAACGGAGTTATAAGCGTTTAAAGTTTCCAAATTTTGTCCAATTTTGCCTATTGACTCGATCCAGTGTGCGTCGTCTCTCATGTACGTACTCTCTCTCCGATGTCAATTGAAAAATCATCGTAAAAGCATTCTAAAAAAAGATTCCTTACTTTCCTCTTTTCTGTTGCCTCAAAATATGTCACAACGGACTTAAAAGTTCAGTTCCTCGCTCGATAAACTCAGTGAATCCTCGGCCTTGTTAGAATCAAGTTTCGGAAATATTTTGAAATGGGACTTAGTGTAACTCGAAATATTACTGTGTTCATAATAATCCTACTTTTTCTTGATGTTAGGGGTATGTCGTCATGGTTGCCAAATAGGCGGCTTGTGAGATCATTAACTGGTGCTGGGTCACAGGTACGTAATCGTCTCAAATAATCAACTGATTTAAATATACAAACGTGTGATCATAAGGAAACTCTAATACTGCTGTGCTAAGGAGAAACGCCGCATGAACCTTCAAGCGTTGCCAAATTCCTTCCGATAAAACGCAAATTTCCTGGTAAACTTATGAATTTTTTCCCCCAATTTTTCGCGTAATTTTGTTCGTAATTTTACCTTAAGCTCTTGAAAATTTCAAAACAAAATATTCAGAACTTTCCTCAAAAATAAAAATTTTATCGACGGAAATTTGGCAACTCCCGCGTGTTCATACGGCGTTCTTCCTTAGCACGGCAGAATAATGCCTGGTAACTGATCAATAGGGGTATTCAATTTGAAAAAGAATAGAACTATACCGAAGACTGGTAGGATTTAGAAAATATGTCCTAATCTTGTACAACTTCTTTTTGAATGCAATATTTTCCCTATTTCTTCTGGAGATGAGTAAGTTCAGAGTTGAATCATAAATCGGACAGGGGTTTTGACCCTTTCTCTAGAAATTTTGTTCTACTTCGATTTTTTTCAGAATCTTGCCTTCCTCCTCCCGAACTTTTGCGCAATAAGTTGTGCCTTTGATTCTTGGACTCTTTTGCAATTCTCAATAAAAATCAATGTTCACTAAAAATGCTTCAAAAGTGATTTCATCTCTGAATTTATTCATTATCATTCATTTTGAAAAGGGCTCAACTTTGATGAGCAAAATGTTTAAAAAAACATAAAAAGTTGCTGAACAAAATTGTGAATACGGGAAAAAGGTTTTTCGTGCAAAGGGGGTATTGAAAGACAATGTGAACGATGAAGTTGGAGGTTGTTCGCCATATTTAAACATGGCAAAAATGTATTCTGAGTTCTAAAAGACCTCTCCATTTAGTATGAACGAAAGTGCAGATCTTTTTAATGTGAAATGGGAGAAAAAAACTGAATGAATAATGGAAGATACGCACCACCTTAAAGGTTAAAATTTTTTTTCAGATTAGTCCTTTTTGAAACAAAAGATTTAATTTTTATTTTGAATCTATTACTCCTCACAACCTTGAACATTTAACTCAATTACAGTATTAGCTCTACAACTTTATACCTCGTTACTTTGCCACAGCTTAATAAGTGATCATCCGTACCAAAAGAGACCTTAATCTACCGAGGCAATTTTTCAGGATGACGATAGTAATGAAATGGGCGACAAGATAAGAAGTTGATTCTTCGCAGGAAACGCGTGAATTTTTTTGAGAGAGTTCACTTTTGAAGTTTCCAATGTGACGGGTAAATGTTCCATCCTTTTTGAGCTATCCTAATGAAGGAAAACCTCTTATGTTACCTCCCATGACGGAAAAAAGTGGACAAGAATCGACTACAAAAATTGGCAGGAACTGTCAGTCAATCAGGATTGACTTATATCATTCCATCTTAGGTTGAAGGTGTGTTTTACAGTGTAAACAGATAAGCTGATAATTTCTAAACTTGATGGGTAAATTTTATTTTAGTTTAAAAGTTAGAAATTGTATTAAATGTATATAACTTTATCATTAGATATATGACACTTAGGATTAACACTTAGAATTTAAAAGTTAGCCAAATCCCACCTAAATTAGGCCCCCTAGAGCTAAATTAGCTATTAGCTATTTAGCCCCGAGGCTAAATTAGTTTTAGGATCTAATTTTCAGCCTGTAATGGAGTTCTTGCATGACAAACGGATAAACGATTTAAGTACTTTAGCCCATAGTTGAAGCAAATTTTCGCCTTCCCGTCATTCAAATCGATTCTCCTATTTTAAAATCCCCTTTATCCTCGTACAGGTCAAAATTAGGACCTATTTTTTTACTCTACATGTGCAAACCCGCGATCTCGCAAAAAAAGAAGAAAAAATACGCAAATTTTGCCTCAATGGAGATGTTGCATGTGTGAGGAATTTGCGATT